GATAGATCTATTTTTTTTATAACAGATTATGTAAAAAGTCATTTTTACAAAGATTAAAGTTAAATTCCTAAATAATGCACAATATTCGGTTTTACAACAAATGCATATTTTGAAATACGTGGCCACTTGAGACCCCCCGCCCTCATGAGTCGGCTGATCGATGCAAAGGGCATCGGTTGCATCTCTTTGTTAGAACCCTCATCCCCTCTAGTTTAATCATTTTAAAGAACGAAATTTTGCGTGTCCAAATTTGAAAATTGATTAAATGCTGAATCATTTCCTTAAGAAAACTTTTTCGTTCAAATTAAAATTGACTTAAACTCAGTGACGGATCTTGGATATTTGTAACCCTATATGTATATAACTTTTGGGGTTCTTTATTTATAAAAAAGTTAAACTATATAATTCCAAAAAAACTCGTAATTTTACAATTTTATGAAAAATGCATAGCTTGATAACTTATACGACCACATGTGTCGGGGTCCCTAGTATGTATGTATGTATGTAATGAGTATGAAAAAAAAATTAGGCTGTGCGTAAACCTGTAAAGGGGAAGGGTAAAAGTCTATTCTGAACAATATACCGGGCAATATGGTTTCTTATTGTAAAAAAAATAAGATTTTTGGTGATCCCAAGAAGAAGGTGTAGAAATGGATAGATGTGCAATAGTTGTTCTGAAAATTACGTATTTGGTGTGATAGATAGACATTTATTTTTATTTAGAAAACATAAAATTAAGATAAAATTTCTATGAAAATGATAATTTAATTAAAGAAATTAAAAAAAAGATACGTTGTTCTAGAGGGGTCCACGGACAAAAGCATGGTGGACCAAGTGGGGGGAGGTTGGCTAAAAAGTGGCTAAAGTGGTTTAGGCACAGAAGCTTAAGGAAAAACCAATACCAAATAACGTTATAATTCTTGAAATGACAAATTTTAAATAGAGTTTTAAAAACATTTTTAGAACCATAAAGTAATTTATTTAGCAAAATTACTTTACTTACTTAAGTGGATGCGGAAATTTTTGCTGGTTCACTCTAGATAGGGTCCGGATAAGATTGTTTAAGACGCTCCATGTGGCCTCACGTATTATCACATTAGACGCTGGCGCATTTTGTGTATATATGCAGTGAACGCAGCATAGAGTATGAAGCATCCATGATGGATAAATTTATAAATTGAATAGTTAATTACTTTTGTAATTTAAAAAAAAACGATATTAGAAAATTATTAAAAACAGTAACATAATAAAGGAGTTTTCTAATAACATTTATATTTTATTTAGAGGTTTCCTTGGGTGTTTGGGTCAATTTTATCACTACAGATTGTAAAAAGACCCAGTTGGTAAAAGACATCAATGAATTTTTTGAGGAACAATAAATTCTCAGCTTTTTAATAAATTAAAGTGCTAGTGTAAGAATCATCTTTTGGTAGCATTCATTAATAAATTTTCAAATCAAACTGACTACTTATCAGATTACAAGTTACTAATTCGTTGCATCAGATTAACGTTTCACGATTAAATCTGGTTTNGGTGTTTGGGTCAATTTTATCACTACAGATTGTAAAAAGACCCAGTTGGTAAAAGACATCAATGAATTTTTTGAGGAACAATAAATTCTCAGCTTTTTAATAAATTAAAGTGCTAGTGTAAGAATCATCTTTTGGTAGCATTCATTAATAAATTTTCAAATCAAACTGACTACTTATCAGATTACAAGTTACTAATTCGTTGCATCAGATTAACGTTTCACGATTAAATCTGGTTTTAACTTTGACGAACAATTTTTATTTTCAGTAGAGAATGTGTTAATGGCAAACTAAATACGCATACCCAAGAAAGGAAAAAGAAATTTATTATTTAGTTATCAGGTTACAAATCAAAAATTAAATATTATCAGTAGGGAGCGGGCAACACGAATTCTTTGTTGACTTAAGAGTTCTTACTCCATCAAACCTAAGCACAGACCTTATCTATTGCATGTGCGAACAACATCCACTTTTTAGTGATTAGAATTTGGTAAACATTTAATATTTTTGAAAAACAGAAGTACTTTTCTTGTATGCATAATTTCGGCAATTAAGGTAAATATTAATATCAATAAAACTGTAAAAATTAAAGCTAAAATGGTGGCAAAAATCGCTTTATTTATGGTAACCAACATCGACGTATTATCTTTTGGTATAAATATTTTTCAAGGTAGACTGCAAAAGGGTCTTATATCAAAAGGCGAAACGTCGGTGTTAATTACAATAAATAAAGTGCTTTTTCTCCTTATTTTAGCTTTAATTCTTACAATAATATTAAAAGGGAGTATTTATGGAAAGAAACTGAAATTTCTATACAATTCCTTTAAAAGGATCTAACGACTTTTGGCTTACCATGTGCTTAATAATATCTTCTATTATTAATCCAACAGGCTGCTTAAGATTTTAATAATCCTCTTTATGTCCTGCTACGGGAATAGAATTACAAAATGCATAAATATATTTGTATGTGACGTATGTACTTACATGTACACAAAGTCTAGATGCATATAAGTACATGTATTTGAATAAAGCTCTAGCGCGAACTTGATGGCTGATGGTGAAGGAGATTTGGGTACTACAAACAACCTTGGCCTTTATATACATGGTTTAAGGTCAAGTTCCACTCCATCTTATCCTGCGAGATTACTAATTTATTTGCCTTAACATATACACGTAACGGTCCCGTTACGTTTTAATGTTAAATATGTTGAAGATCTACAATGTTAAAAAATTGCTCTTGTAGAAAAATAGTAAATAACTAATTGTACGAGCCACATTTACAAAATTTGATTTGGTGAAGATGTTAATCATTAACAAGAAATAAAAAACCAATAAAATTAGATGAAAAGTAAAGTTTACCATTTTATTAATACGAAGGTTGACTTACACCAGCTCGAAGGGCTCCTTCCAAAAATGCTTTGGTCCTTTGGATTCCAAAAAAACCTTTTAATCTTATCTTTTTTACTAAGCTTAGCTTCTTCTAAATGCATAAAATATGCCACTTGAGCACTAAGAAGCTCATCTTGTTTACTGGACGGCACCGAAAATTTTTTTCTAGGAGCGGACGTAGAAGGTGTCATTTTTTTAAATCTATTGATAAAACGGTCACAAAATGATGACAAAGATATTATATCGGAATAGTGGTTAAATTTTATTGCTTTAAAGGGGATGGAAAAAGTTTTTGGTATTAAGAGATAAACTTTGAGATATTTAAGGTAAAATGTGTAAGTTACGGATGTAAATGATAAACTGACCGAGGACATAAAAGATGGACTGTAGGAGGAGGGTCCGGATATTAGCAATTTTGTACTTGAACACATCCCAAGCAGAAGTTCCAAACAAAGGTTGTGACGTCTGTCCATTTAAAAACCACCAGTGGTCACCACGAACAATTACGTAAACCTTTATATGTCCTTCTTTTTTATAAAATAAATGTTTCAAAAAAGAACTTGTGAAATTATTATAAAGATTAAAATTTGTGAAACTGTCGGTTCAAAGGCTGCAGGATTATCGTAATTTTTTCGATTTTTAGAAAATTTTAGATTCTTTTCAAAATACAAAAACAATTTGATAGATCTATTTTTTTTATAACAGATTATGTAAAAAGTCATTTTTACAAAGATTAAAGTTAAATTCCTAAATAATGCACAATATTCGGTTTTACAACAAATGCATATTTTGAAATACGTGGCCACTTGAGACCCCCCGCCCTCATGAGTCGGCTGATCGATGCAAAGGGCATCGGTTGCATCTCTTTGTTAGAACCCTCATCCCCTCTAGTTTAATCATTTTAAAGAACGAAATTTTGCGTGTCCAAATTTGAAAATTGATTAAATGCTGAATCATTTCCTTAAGAAAACTTTTTCGTTCAAATTAAAATTGACTTAAACTCAGTGACGGATCTTGGATATTTGTAACCCTATATGTATATAACTTTTGGGGTTCTTTATTTGGCTCGAGTTTTTTGGTGGACGAC